GGACGTTGTTCACCTGAACCATCATATCTACCGTAGTACTCACCACCACGATCAGATCTGACGGTTTTAATTCTTCTGTTGAGTTGATTCTCAACTTCAGCTTTATAGGCTTTGAACATGTCCAGAGACTCAGATTTTTCATGAATAAGATATAGGTGCCCATAACGTGAGTAATCGTCTATGAATGATATAAAATATTGTTGACCATTCCAGGATTCCGTAGGGAATGGCCCACAAATATCCGTATGTATCAATTCTAAGACATCCGAAGATCTGTTGGCACCTAATCTTTTCACTTTGGTCTGTTTTCCCTTGATACATTCAACACATACGTCGAAGTCCGAAAAATCAAGGGAATCCAAAATGCCATCAGACACAAGACGCTCAATTCTACCTTTTGAGATATGACCTAAGCGCTTATGCCATAATGTCGCCGAATTTTCCTTATTTAATTTACGCTTAGTACCACGTGATTCCACATGCAAGGATTCATTGTAAGAAGCAATTGTATCAAGCAAATATAGGTTGTCATAAATACTCAAGTAACCGGTTCCCACAACATTTGAATTAAAAGATAAACTGAATTGACTGTTTCCAAATGAACAAGAATAACCTGATTTGTCCAATACAGAAACAGAAACCAAATTCCGTCTAAAAGACGGTACTACAAAAGTATCTTTTAAATCCAAATAATAACCAGTTCCTAACAACAACCTAAAGTGCCCAATTGCTTCCACATCTACCGATTGTCCGTCGCCCACAAAGATGTGTCTTTCAACATCACTTGGCTTTCGGTAGCTCAGGCAACCCTGCATAGAAACACTTATGTGAGTAGTAGCACCAGAGTCTAACCACCAAGTGTTTCTAGGTACTGAAGCTAAATTAACCTCAGAACAGACCAAAGCAAGGAACGTACCCTTATTATCACGCCAGGCGTGATATTTTGTACAGTCCTTCTTTACATGTCCAGGCTTCTTACAGAAGAAACAACCCTGATTATCCTTATGTTGTTTCTTCTCAACTGGACCCTTAGCAGCTTCCTTATCATTCTTCCTTTTCTTGCCCTTATCCTTAGAGGCATAGGCCAAATGAGCACTTTCTGTCTTATCTTGCTTCAACCTGTCTTCTTCTTGCACACAGTATGAAATGAGCTCATTTAGAGTCCATTTCTCCTTTTGACAGTTATAACTGACCTTAAATTGGTTAAACTGTGCAGGAAGAGACAACAAAACCAGATGCACTAATAACTCGTCACAAAGATCGAGTTTAAGTGCCTTAAGCTTTGAAGCAATATGAGACATTTCCATAATGTACTCCCTGATATTTCCTTTGCCCTTATACTTCATTGAAATCAAGCGAGCTAAAAGCGTGCTTGTTTCTACCTTATCGTTTTTCGCAAAACGCTTCTCAATTTCGGCAAGGAAATCTTTAGCCTTAGTAATCCCTTCGGATTCTATGCCCCTGAAGGCTTCCGGAACGCCGCGCTTAATGATCATAAGACTCATGCGATTTGAACGCTCCCACTTCTCATGCTCCTTCTTTGCATCAGGAGTGCTATCCGCATTGAGAGGTTGGGGTTGTTCAGTTCTTAATGCATAGTCAAGATCCATGCAGCCAAGAACAATTAATATGTTCTCTTTCCAAACCTTGAAGTTTGTCCCATTTAGCATGGGAATTGAGTTGATGTTAGCAGAAATTGTTGCAGCAGATGCATTAGCTGAAATAAAACAAAAGAATGCTCACATCAATAACCATAATCAATAAAATTCAAATAATGACAATCCCCATCCAAGATACCGGCACAACATTAATATCAAGTTTTTGGACAGTAATATTAACTTGTAAGTGATACCTTGTTGCAATGATCAAACATTGACAATAACTCATGTCAAATAATGAAACTATCTTTGGATCGATTCATTATTCACATGTAAACCTTATAATTGTCACACGCTTATCATCGCAGATGTGTATACAGTCTAAATAAATATTAACCTTCCTTTGGGCCGATTAAATATTTACACGAAAGCATACACACAAACATCTCACATTCCTCATGAACAATCTACACAAGAGAGGTTACTTTGGCAACTTCTTGTTTCAATTAATCAATTGGAGTGAGAGACAACCTTAATACCTTAGTGTCATAATATTTGAATTAAATAATTAATTAAAAACCGAATTAGATTTAAATTAAAAAATTTAAATCAACTGAATTTCCAAAAACTTAATTGGGGTCTCACAGCTTAATTAGGGCCCATAACTTAATTGAATAAATTAAGTATACCAAAGTGGACCCATGAAAAGCCGAGGCTTAACCATAATGAACACGAAGTTCCCTTAACTTCGAACGCGAGGTTCGACTGTATTGAGTACGAGACTCACTTAAGCACGAACGCGAGGTTCGTCTGAAAATGAACGAATGCGAGGTTCGTTTGATAAAAGAACGCGATGTTCAACTTGGGAACGAACGCGAGGTTCGTTTAAAAAATAAACACGATGTTCGTCTGAAGTTCGAACGCGAGGTTCGTCTGAAGTTCGAACGCGAGGTTCGTCTGAAGTACGAACGCGAGGTTCGTCTGAAGTTCGAACGCGAGGTTCGTCTGAAGTTCGAACGCGAGGCTCGACTGAAGCACGAACGCGAGGTTCGTCTGAAGTACGAACGCGAGGTTCGTCTGAAGTACGAACGCGAGGTTCGTCTGAAGTACGAACGCGAGGTTCGTCTGAAGTACGAACGCGAGGTTCGTCTGAAGAACGAACGCGAGGTTCGTTAAAAAATTGAGCTTGACGCTCACCTGAGTTGAACGCGAGGTTCACCTTAGAACGAACGCGAGGTTCGTTAAAATTGAGCTTGACGCTCACCTGAGTTGAACGCGAGGTTCACCTTAGAACGAACGCGAGGTTCGTTAAAATTGAGCTTGACGCTCACCTGAGTTGAACGCGAGGTTCACCTTAGAACGAACGCGAGGTTCGTTAAAATTGAGCTTGACGCTCACCTGAGTTGAACGCGAGGTTCACCTTAGAACGAACGCGAGGTTCGTTAAAATTGAGCTTGACGCTCACCTGAGTTGAACGCGAGGTTCACCTTAGAACGAACGCGAGGTTCGTTGAGCGCGAAGCTCGGTTAAAATTGAACGAACGCGAGGTTCGTTTGAGGTAACCACCTCCTTAATTTTCGCCATGAACCCTTAGGGTTTCAAACTGAAACCGCCGCCGCCAAACCCAAAAAATTCTTCGATTTTTATTTTCAAAACCAGATCCAGAATCGGAAAAAATTTCTTGATCCAGATCCAAGAAAAATTGAAGAAAAAATCAAAGGAAAATCCAAAAAAATCCAAAAAGTTACTGTTCACCGGGATTTTTCAGTTACTGTCCATCCGAAAAACTTTACTGTTCATCCGAATAAAAAACTTTACTGTTCATCCGAACAAAAAAAAAACATTTACTGTTCATCCGAAAATTTTCGTTACTGTTCATCCGAACCCAAAAAATTGAATCTTTAACCAGAGATTTAAGATCAAAAACCCAATAAAACTTAAATCACTAAGAATTAATCAAGGTGGCTCTGATACCACTTGTTAGATCTACATCATATAAACTTGAGATCTAAAACCATATAGCCATGATTAATTCAAAGAGATTAACAATAATCATAAGAGCGGAAGCTTATACCTGAATCCATGGATGAAATCTTGATTTGGGTTTTTGATGATCTTCTAACCTTAGGGATTCTCCAAATCCGAATTTCTCTAGCTAGATGGGGGTGTAGAGAATTAGAGAATGTAACCCTAGGTTAGGGACCATAACCCCTTATTTATAGATGTTGTACTTTTGTAATTTAGCCCCTCAATAAATCACAATTACAACCTGGTATCTGCACATATAACCCCATGACTTATTTAAATACCAAATTAACCCAACTTAATTGATCACTTTAGTGGGTTATCCTGAAAGATAGCAATACACATTGATTAATCATATGTGCCCACAAATAGATTTATTAGATTAAATCCAACAATAGATTCAAAATTAGGCTTTTCAGTTTATACCTCCACTACGGGTGTGGGTGTCCCCAAAGACGAAGATGGATCCTGAGGAGATGGTTTGGCCTCGGCCATGAAGATAATGATGAGTGGCTGCTTGGTGGCTGAAGGAAATTCGAGTCGGCGGTTAAAGGAAATTCGAGTCAGCGACAAGGCGGTGAGTTAGAGGCGACGACGACGAGTCGTAGGCGATGTCGGCGAGTCGGAGTCGACGAGAGAAGCTACGCCTGCGCGCATCAGTGCACCTGCACCGATGCGGGTGCGTTGCGGAGTGCAGAGAGAGAGAGAGAGAGCTGAGTGCGGACAGAGAGTGAGAGAGAGGAAGTGCGGCTGGCGGCTGGGTATGGTTGTAATGGATTCAGGTACAAATTAAATAGGTTATTAGTGATGTTGTCGTTCGATTCGGTTCGGGTTGAAAAGTTTTCAACCCGACCCGAACCGACCTACAAACAAAACCGACCCGAACTGCTAATTTTCGATTGGTTTTTTCAGTCTGGACCTTACCATGCACAACCTTATGCATAATATGTCAATTGTATCTTGATTCCCCACCAAAAAAAATCAAGAGTCCGCCGCTGGTTTCACCCATGCCGACGAATGCATAATGCAGACGCAAACAAGCAATCAATCGAGACGGGTGAAGGAATTCTCTGGAAGATGCGTACTTAACAACTAATAGACAACTCAACTATTATATATTATTTAATACGAAAAGACGTAAAAAAAAGAAAAAGAAGCAGAGACTGGACTCTGTTTCACCTAAATAAAATACTCATCTTAATCCGAAGGCCAGTTAATGAACTGGACCGCGGCCCATTTTGTCAACGGGTAAAAAGTAAATGCTCACGATCTTATTATCCGAGGCGGGCGGGCCCCAACCGGAAAGAAACTAATAAATAAACTAATCGGAGGTCCAATTTGGGCCGCTCATTAATTTACCCGCCAACCTGTCCTCAACTTTTTCGTGTTCTTCTTCCTTCTTCAGCGCTCCTCTCTTTTTTGAGGGGCCTAAAAAAAAGAAAAAAAATAAGCCCTGGTTAAATTAATTTCTTGGGAGAAAACCCCTCCTAGCATCGAGGTCGGAAATGGGGGGAGGCAACGGACAGAAGGCCAAGATGGCCCGCGAGAGGAACCTCGAGAAGCAGAAGGCCGGGGCTAAAGGTCCATCTCGATCCATAAAAACCCTCGTCGGTTTTGGTCTCGGTTTGATCCTCTGAGCATGATTTGTTGTTTGCACAGGGAGCCAGCTCGAAGCGAACAAGAAGGCGATGTCGATTCAGGTCTTGCTCCCGATCCCTCCCTCTTTCCTCAAGTTTTTCTTCGCCTGCGAGGTCGGAGGATCCTGGGCGGATCTCGTTAGGCATCTGTTGTTTCTGGCGGGGGAATTTGATGGGTTTTGTAGAGAAACTAATACTGTTGGATTTCTTTCATCGAGGTTTAGAAAAGATGCTTTTTTTTTGGGGGAAGAATTCTTGTCTTTTTTACTAACTGGGGGGGTGAGAATTAGTTAGCTCTGGTCATTATAATGAATGGGACGACCTTATCTACAAAAATCTCATATAAGCTGTAAATGCTTACGTACCCAACAAAATAATAATAATAAAAATTTAGTTTTTTTGCTTTTTGTTTTCCTCCCCCCCTAATGTTCCATGGCCTCTTCTGTTATAAGATGTTATATCTTATTTAATTTCTTATGAAACCTGGCGGATATTTGATGTCCACGGTCCCTTTCTTTCTTTCAAAGCTCCATTGATCTTTCCTTGAAAACCTGTCCTAGTGGCTGCTATGGGCTTATTGCATCACTTTTAAGTGCTATTGCTGGCTGATGAGCGCGTGTGTTTCATGGTGTTTTCTTGGTGTGAGCCTAAGCAGGCGATCGAGCTCCATCCGAGAGCGAGAGCGTCATCCTTGTTAGGTTTTAAATACATCTCGAGCATTGTTACTGATTTGCTCTTCAGTCTGCCTGTATTAATGATAAGTGAACCTGGTTTGGTATGTTCTGATTGATGCCTTATCCCTAGTTTCCTTCTTTATTTCTCCTAAGACCATCTTCAATGGCAAGGCAAAAATTGCCTTTCTCTCTCCTTCCACCTCACTTTATTCTCCCTCCACATCACTTGCCTTTTTCACTTGCCTTTCAATTCCACAACAACTAATTTTTCAAAAAGTTTTTCACTTTATCTTTCCTCCACATCACTCAATCATGATAATTAAGTAAAAAATTAAGTTTTATTTGCTTTGTCCAAATAACACAAACTCAAGCTCTATTAATAGATCTTGAAAAATAATAAATAGTGGTGAAAAAATAAAAAATTAATTTCGAGTAATTATTGATCAAAACAGTCATTTAAAAACAAGGTAAGAATAATTGTAAAAACTTTATGACACGCGGGGCCCAACAAAATATTTAACACAAAGGCAAAATTTGCCTTCCATTGTCTTTCTCTCTCCAACTTTTTCATTTGCCTTTCAATTTGCCTTGCTATTGGATGTAATAATTTTTGAGTTGCCTTGCCATTGCACTTGGTCTAACGTAAAATTCTCTAGCTTATTATGAATCTGTGAGCCACATAAGTAAATTCATTTATATCTGATGATGACTATTGGCTTAATTTTCATCCTTTGTTGCCGAAGTTTTTTGAGGTAAAACCTTTGGTTCTGGCATAATTTGCGGTGCGTGAAGGTTGTATTTTCATGGACGCGTACGGTGAAATCTGCATGGTGCATATACATAGACACAGTTTGATATCTGAACCATTACGCGTGCTGCCTATGTCTGGGGATTCTAGTGATGTGGGTTTAATCTATAAAAGGAAACTGGCGAGAGAAAAAGAATTGTGATATGGAGCTGGTGGTCGTTGGGCGATGTTTCTCCATTCCGATCATAGATACTACTGGTTGATATGATATATTGGTGTCATAATTATCATTTTCTGACTACCAAAGCATTTCCTGAGCATGGTAAACTTGATATTCCATTAGCATAAGTATCAGGGTGTCGATCGTAATTATTTTTGTATTTGATATGTTTTAGCATCACTGGACCTTTTTCGGTGAGACTTTGTTATACATTTATCATTTAGTGCTCACTCATAATCTCTTTATGTTTTCTATTTAAATGCAGTGCAAGGTATGTATGCAGACGTTCATCTGTACCACATCAGAAGTGAAGTGCAGGGAGCATGCTGAAGCAAAGCACCCAAAGTCTGATGTCTATCAATGCTTTCCCCACCTCAAAAAGTAGTAGCAGACGAGGAAAATCCTCCTCCCTCTCAAGTGGCGATTGCGAGTACTGGTATTAGCTTAAATCATCAGGAGAATGTAGTCCTAACCTGATGTGTTGGGACTTGTATTCAGTGTGTATTGTGTTTTCTTATGAATTCTGTTGTTTGAACTGATCAGAAACGTGTGGGATTTTCCTAGTTATCAAGATGCTTTTGTACTAGTTTAATTGGACTCTTCTTATGGCCTGTGCAACTATCCTCGCTGCTTGTATTTTATGTGAAGCTTGACTTGCTTGATCAGAATTGTCTCCTTGCAGCAGCGGGGCTTCAGTGCAAAACTAATGATTTAGTATGCTTACCGAGCTAATCATCAAATAGTACCAGAAACGGTCTGAAAGTATGTTGTATTTTGTTTCAATTTAAACAAGCAAAATTGGCTCGCGTGTTGCCGCGGCATTTGTGTGATGAAATCAAAAAATAACGGTTAAGTATTTTGTTTAGAAAAATCTTTCTTAATTTCTGGATAAAAATGTTTTTAGGAATTGCAATATAGGTAAATTAGTGTGGACGAACAAAAAAAATGGTCTAACCATTTGGTTAAAAAATGTTTAGCTTGTCAACAAACATATTTTTTAGTTTTGTATCATAGATAAATTAGTGCACGAAATTTTTTAAAAATAATGATTTAAGTCTTAGGATAATTCTAACGCCTTTGGTAGTTGTATTGTAGATAAAGCCAGAAAAATAATATTTTAAGCATATTAGTGTGGAGAAAACCAAAAAAGAAAAGCTCATGTGTATTTAGAAAAAAAATATTAGCTAAAGTATTTGTACGATACTAATGACTTGGTAGTCATTATGTACACAAATTAATATGGAGAAAAGAAAAGAAAAAAAATAAAGGCATTTAATTTAGAAAGAAATGTTTTCCAAAATTAGTCCCTCACAACTTCATTCCATATTAGTCCTTCAAATCTTAATACTTGCTTACTAGTCTCTCAAATTCTAAGGGGTCTTACAATTTGGTCCTTTAATAATGAAAATAACTCTTAGTTATGATTTCTCTCTTAAAACTCATCTTGCTAAAAAAGGATTATTTACACTTTGGAAGCTAAATTTTACACCTTTTAACCTTGGGAAAATTGTGTCAATGCCCCAAAACAAAAACTTCATATGTTGCAGTCCCTTTGACTTTTCACCATGTGTTTTAGCTCTTAAATTGGAGATCTATGTTCTGCAGTTATTCTTTAGCAATTATTACCTGCCAAGTAAGCATAGAGAGAAAATAAAAATAAAAAACCCCAAAATACCCTTATCTCCTCTATTCTTTCATGTTAAGTCTACAAGCAAGTTGAATTAAGTTCAATTTAATTCATATTAAGTCTAATTTAGTTCCTTTTAAGTCTAATTTAAATCATGTTATGTCTAATTCAACTTGTTTCAAGTCTAATTTAATTCATGTTAAGTCTAATTTAACATGTTTTAAGTCTAATTTCATGTTAAGTATAATTTATTTCATGTTAAGTCTAATTTAATTCCTTTTAAGTCTAATTTAAATCATGTTATGTATAATTCAACTTGTTTTAAGTCTAATTTAATTGAACTTAATATGAAATTAGACTTAAAAAGTTAAATTAGACTTAACATGATTTAAATTAGACTTAAAACAAATTTAACATGATGGAAATTAGACTTAAAATAAGTTGAAATAGACTTAACATGATTCATGTTAAGTCTAATTCATTTTGTTTTTAGACTTAAAATAAGTTGAATTAGACTTAACTTGAACCAAACTGAACTTAACACGAACCAAACTGGATTTAACACGAATCAAACTAGACTTAATATGAACCAAACTGGACTTAACATGAACTAAACTAGAATTAACACTAAACTGGATTAAAATTAGACTTAAAAAGAATTAAATTAGATTTAACATGAATCAAATTGGCCTTAACATGAAGTAAAATTGGACTTAACATGAAATTAGGCTTAAAATAAGTTGAAATAGACTTAATGTGATTCATGTTAAATCTAATTCAACTTATTTTTAAACTTAAAATAAGTTGAATTAGACATAACATTATTTAAATTAGACTTAAAATGAATTAAATTAGACTTAACCTGAATCAAACTGGACTTAATATGAATCAAATTAGACTTAACATAAAATTAGACTTAAAATATGTTAAATTAGACTTAACATGATTCATATTAACTCTAATTCAACTTATTTTTAGACTTAAAACAAGTAGAATTAGACTTAACATGATTTAGATTAGACTTAAAAGGAATTAAATTACACTTAACATGAATCAAACTGAAACTAATATGATAGATCTGGAAAGAACAAAGAGGGGGGAGGAAATAAGGGTATTTTGGGTTTTTATGTTTGTTTCTCTCTCTTTGTGCTTAGTTGACATGACAATTATATGAAAAGGGCTACAACACATAATGTGACATTTCTTGGGGCTGAACCATATGGAAAAAAATGGAGGGGCTGTAGCACATGAAGGTTTACTTTTGGGGCATTGACACAATTTTCCCTTTAACATTAATACCACAGGTTTTTAGCAATAGATACCCTAAAGTTCACACCTTTTTAATTTTGATGCTTCAAAGTTTTTTCTTGACACTTTTGTTAAGACAAAATTTATATATTGTTAACTTTGACACCCAAAGTTTTTTTGACACTTTGATGCATTGAACTTTTTCTTAAACTTTAGGGTATTAGAATTAAAAAAAATGTTAAAACATTGGATACGAAAGCAAAAAAAATGGGAATATTTAAGGTAAGTTAAAAATATATAAATGTTAGGGTAGCAAAGTGTCAAAAAGGTTTAGGTTATCAAAGATAAAAAAAGGCATAATTTTTGGGGTATCATAGTGTCAAATAAAATTGTATATATCAAAGTTTTAAAACAATATAAAGTTTTGGAGTGCCAGATTGCAAACAACTCTTTAAAAACATTATATGATGGTATTTTGGACATTGAGGGGTGAAATTGCAATAAGACTAGGATTTGATAGAGTAATAAGCAATTATTTAGATTGAGATACTAATATAAAATTATTGAAGATTTGAGGGACCAATATCTAAACAACGCTATGTGAAAATACCCTCTAAAATTGCTAAATTGCAAATAACCCTTTAAAAAAATATTAGAAGAGGGTATTTTCGTAGTCTTTGTCGATTGTTTTTGTTCACGTTGCTCAGAGCATAAATTTGTCACTTTTATTTTTTCTTCGTCATTTCTTCATCTCTATTATCAAAAGTATTTTTAAATTGTAACATGTATGTCTTATTCTACACTTTTATATGTTAGGATTGTGTTTTTGATTCTTTGTATAACTTCATGAGAATTATATAAGGTTAGAGATCTATCATGATTAGGAGATTAGATCTTATCATGATTAGGAGTTTGAATCCTATTCTAATTAGGAAGTTAGGCTAGAGATAAGATTTTGGTTTCCCTATATATATTCTTCTATTGTTGGAGTAAAAACCAAACAGATGAGAGAGAGAGCCAATATTCTTGTAATCTAGGGTTAGCAGAGGGCATAACATGATTCAAGAATATTATGCGAGAGGCGAGGGTTTCGTAGTCTTTGTCTGTGTAAAAGATTAATTACATTATTGGGAGAGAGTTTCACAATCTTTGTTCATTTAAAAGATAGTAAGGAGAGAGCTTTGGAGATAATATGAGAGTTGTTTATGTATGTGAGGTTGAGAGATTGAGAGACAAGAGTTGAGTGGTTCCTCTTGTAGCTCTCCTTGATACATAATGGATTTCTCGTATGTTGCCCGTGGACGTAGGCTGAAGTTGGTTGACTGAATCACGTAAACCTTAGTGTTCTTTCTTCTTGATTGTGATTATTTTATATCTTATTGATTGTGGGTTAGGTTCCAAGTTGCGTAAATTGTAGTAGGCAAGGAGACTAAAATTTCCCAACAAATGGTATCAGAGCAATGGTGATGAATCTGGAAGTTAGTTTTCAAGATAGAAGTCGTCGTCATGCGAGATTAAAGATCGACGGTGTTACAAGAATCAAGACGAAGAAAAAGAAAAAAAAAGGAAGGAATGATCATTGCCGGCAAGAGGATTTAACGGCGACTAATCGTTCGGAAGAGAGCGCCCGAGGGATGTAGTATACGACGACGAATTCTGCAGGCGACTACAGCAGTGAATCACGGTGTCGAGGAGATGCAACCGGTCACCGACAAAGGGCTTGCGTGGAGACGAATTGGCAATGAGAGGAGCAGGCAGTGACAAGTTGGCGGAGTTGCTTGGAAGATTTTTGGAGAGGGCTTCAGTTGGCTCTGTTCGTGAAAATCGGAGGAGACAATCATGTGATTTGATGATGAGGTGATCTTGTGTTTGGAATATTTTAGTGTTTGGATTTGTAGATGTACATCAGATGGTCCAGATAGTTTTGTCGATAGATTGGTGAATCAGAGGTTGATTTCAGTGATCCAGGAGTTGATTCCAAAGTTTTGGAGTGCTCTGAACGCGATGGAAGGGTCTGATTTTTTAGGTTATGCTCATATTGGATAGAAAGTGCTAAAAAGTTCTGATGGTGATAATGAGACAAATTTGATGGCAGATAGGGCAAAAATTATGAGACAGATGAGATTGATGTAGAGAATCAGATGTAATTCTAGCAGTAGAGTTGTCAGCATATAATTATCCAGAGTCATCGAGGGAGCAGTAGTTGGTTGGTGTGTAGACTCGAGGAGGACGGTGCCATATTAGGTGGAGCTTGCAAGCAGGTGTGACTGAGTGATACACATGCTGATGAAGATGGTGACATTGGACTTGAAGACGATGAGCGCTCATATTTGATCGAAGCCAAGTGATAGAGGAGATAACGACATCCAACTCGTAGTGTGGAGTAGGAGAGGTGCACCGATATAGTTTGAGACGAGCGATGCAGGTGGAGCACAATGACAACAAGCGCGAGGAGGCTATTGTCAAGCTCAAGTTGGGAGGACAAGCATGGTTGATTTGCTTCTGATGTTAGAGGCGGTGAAGATCTTTTGGTACGCACAAGAGTGGTGGAGGCGTTACAACGAGACAGATGAAAGTGAGGGTCATAGGAGCATCCCATTGGAGTGCAGGTGCTTCGATTTAAAGTGCAAAAGAAATAGAAGACTCTAACGAGAGAGACAAAGTTTCAAGACGACAATGATATATCTTCAAGGGAGTTTGGGAATCAAACCCAAAGTGGAGATTGCTAGGATTGTGTCTTTGATTCTTTGTATAACTTCATGAGAA